CGCGCACGGCCATAGCAAAAAACCCCAAACCCTAAACCCTATAAATTGTACCCAAGAAGACTCCAGGGTCGTCCGAAAACACAATCCTCGGACCCTGAGGGTAACAACTTCTAAACCCTCAACCCTAGAAGCCCTCACACCTTAGCTGAATTCTACGCCCAGAACTCTTCGGAGCCCACGACTGAAGGATTTTGTGGCTTGCGGCCATCAGCTGCGCTTGCTTCGATGAAGCCTTTTCCGACCGCTTTCGATGCAATACTCGCCGCTTTGTCGAGAATTTTTTGATTTAGGAGTTTCGGGTTTCTGTTCAGGTCTTTGGGTTTGGGGTTGATGTTCAGGTCTTTGGGTTCTGGGTTTATATATGTTTAGGTTATATTGCGGATCCCAATCTTGGGTTTTTTAGGGTTTACGGTTTATGGAGATCTACGTTGGCGGGCATCGGGACTATGATGGGCGGATCTGAAGCATCATGCCAGTTGCTGAGTCTGTCAGGGCGATTTCTGTCAGAATGGGATCTGCCTTGCAATAAGTAGGGGTCTGCTTTGCCGTAAGCAGGGGTCCAAACAGAGTTTGTTCTGTTTGCCCCCCTACGGAAGAGCCCCACCTACAGCCCTGAGCCATCCTAAGCCCTAAAAAAACACCCGGAGTCTGAAGTTTTAGTACGTAGAGTTAAGACTGCAAGATGCGAGGCTGGGTATGTGCCATCATGTGCCTCATCCTCGGCGTCGCGCTGATCCTTCTGGCGGCATCGGCGATCTACTACTATGCTTTCGCGATCCCGAGCACCCTCTCACAGATTTTACTAAACCCTAAACCCTAAACCCTAAACCCTAACCCTAAACCCTAAACCCTAGATTGAATTTCATTTAAGGAAGCAGCCCAAATGCCTTGTACAACGCGGGGTTTTGAGTGAAGCCTGTCGTCCCTGAGAGCCCAGGTGTGGCAGGGTTGATATTTGGTTTGGGAGTCTGGTGAGTATACTAGGCTCTTGGGGATAGTGGCGTGTGTGTGTGTGTGTCTATCTGGGGCTCTGCGAAGGAGATACTGGTCACGAGTCATACCAGTCCGACGGCATTCCACATCATAGATCCCTGCGCTTCAATCTAACGCCCCGAGAAACTACGAAAGTCGAACGGTAAAGTCCCGGTAAAGCTCGATGATTACAGGAGCCTAGGCCTAAACCCCAAACCCAAAGCCCTAAAGCCTCATTGGTATGATCGCTGCTCAGGGCTCCTTATCATCATAAAGTTGTATATAGTGTATACCCCAAAGACGACGATTTCTTAGGGCCCCCCCCGTTGTCCATGGATGGAGGCTTCACTGGCTGACTTGTCTTCTGTGTCCCAAGGTCAGACCCGAGAGTTCTTGATTCTGAACTCATGGCCTAGTGCTTGGCGGTTTAGGGTTTAGGGTTTTGGGGTTTTAGGGTTTTAGGGTTTAGGGTTTTAGGGTTTAGGGCTTGGGGTTCAGGGTTCAGGCTCTAAGGTCTGTGAGGGCTTGACTGGACCCTAGCTCTCTCTCTTCGAGTGCCTTATAGTATATTATGGTGTCCGTGCAAGAGTACTCAACAATGTGGGTGTTTAAAGGTCCAGCTATAGCCTACGTAAGTCAGCCGTTTCCCAGGTAGCATCGACAACCTGGATCAACCACTGGCTGCGAGTGCATCCCAACAGCAGAAGATGCATCATGAGGCGGGCCTGGGAAAGACTTCGGGTTTAGGGAGTAGTGTTCAGGGAATGCGTCAGGGAATACTATTACAGAATGTGAATGTCTGTTTGTCCCCCAGTTCGGCGAATTCGCTCCTACTTCCTTCTTGCAGTGGCTGGTGTTGTTTTTGTCGGATTGCTTAAATGATCACGCAAGGCTAGCTAGCTTCGCCCTGTGCTCCGTTTGTCCTTGTCACATGCTTCGGTTGCTCTGGCTGCAGCTCCGATTCGTGCTTGGTCTCTCCTGGGTGCAGCCGTCTAGTTTCGCCGGGCTTGACTTTGTTCTTGAGTTGATGAGGCTCCGGGGTTCTTTCGCCACAAGAAGCATGCAAGACCGAAACCACGTCATGCCACTATAAGAAGTCAGCTGGTGAATCTCGTTACAACCAATCATCGATGTTAGTTAGCGCACCAGATCTCGCTGAACAGTTCAAGTGAGGATTCCAGTACCATGCGAAACTAAGAGGAGTGGCACGCACCTCACACCTCTCTTTGACTGGATCTGAATGAAGAGAGCTAGACACCTGTGGCCAGCAAATCCTCGAAACTGAACTCCTCCCAACCCAGGTAGAGCCGGCTTGGTGTTTCAATTTTGAGAGCATTCGGTGGCTGGTACTACCACCCAGCTGAATAGGGATGGGTCTTTCCGGCTGAACACAGTGTCATAAGGGTTTATGTGGTCGTAAAGGTTGTCATGAGCCAGTGACTCACTCCAGACTTATATGTTAAAATAGGCCAGTCATTCATTCCCGTTCTTGGACGGACGTACTTGACTCGGTTAAACCCTAACCCTAAGCCCTAAACCCTAAACCCTAACCCCTAAACCCCTAAACCCCAAACCCCAAACCCCAAACCCTAAACCCTAAACCCTAAGGTTCCGGGTTTACCGTCTCAACAGCGAAACGTGGCCTGGACCCTGAGTCCATCGCGAAGCCCCAGACCTTGGATCACCCCCTCCGCCCTTTGAGAACCGAACTCTAAACCCCTAAAGCCCTAACCCCTAAAACCCGGAACACCCAAAACCCTGTAAACCCCTAAAGCCCTAAACCCTAAGACAATGAAACCCTAAAGCCCTAAGCCCCTAACCTGAACCCTAAACCCCTAAATCCTTGAACCCAAACCCTAAACCCCTAAACCCGAAAACCCTTAACCCCTAAATCTGTGAACCCGAAACTCATAAAAAGGTCGGTGAGCTGCTGGGTTACCTTTTCTTGGACATTGAGGACTCCGTTTTAGGTTCCAGGGTGGAATGCTGCAAGGCTTGGGTTTAGGAGTTTAGGGCTTTGGGCTTAGAGGTTTAGCGTTAAGGGTTTCGCTTTGGGTTGAGGGTTGAGGGTGTTGGGGTTCGGTTTTAGTGCTTAGGGCTCAGGGCCACGATTTGGGATTTTCTGCATAATGCTCCTACTAACTCCATCATCCCAGAATTCTTAATTGACCGAGAAGCCATGCTTCAACCTCCCGAAAACAGCTCCCCGTTGCGGGTCAGGCTCTTCGTGTAGGGTAGAAGAATAAGAGCCTCTTTGTGAATCCGCGTGGCTCTTCAAATACTAGGTTTAGGGTTTAGGGGTTTAGGGTTTAAGGGTTTAGGGTTTAGGAGTACCTTTTTGCCCTTTTTCTTTCGGGCTCCCTTATTAAAACCAAATAATAGGAAAACGGCTACCCTTATTATTAAGGGGCTACTGGGGAACCTAGAATATGGACCCTGGCAAAGCGTCCGAAGTACGCTAGAGCCTCCAGGGGCCTCTGGACTGGTCAGCAGTGCTAAACCTACGCTGTTGATGGGTAGGGGTTTAAGGTTTAGAGTTTAGGGTTTAAGGTTTAGGGTTTAGGTTTAGGGTTTAAGGTTTAGGGTTTAGGGAGGATCCTGCTGCAGAATACATCCTAAGATAATGAAGTTCTAACTTCAGATGAACGTTCTGAAGGTAAGGCAGGTTTGTTCAATCAGCATCTGCCCTTCGCAAGAAGCCTACTTGCTCCCCTCGCCCTGCAGTCCCTGACCCAAAGACTCCATGATCTTTTGTACAACTAGACCTCAAACAACTACTATTAGGGACCATATACCCCCATTTGACGGCATAAGGCGTTGGGTTCCCTGAACGTTGCATATAAGCCCTAAAACTTAAACCATGGTGTAGGGCTTAGGATTTAGGGTCTACATGCCCAAACTAGAACCCCTCCTGGGCCCTGGAATTCAAGAGACAATTCTCCGTCCAACTGCACTCGGCTCCCTTCACCAGTACCCGCGTTTTCTGCACTGTCTCGGTTTACGAAGATTTCAGCACCGCAGCCTGTTTTAAAGAGCACATGGCATCCCTATGTACGATCTTCTGGACACTTAAACCCTATACCCTTAAAAAACCCTTTCTCCCAAAAGCCTAAGCTGGGTTTTAGAGTACCACTTGGATTATTTTTTTTGGACCTGTTCCTTAAAGGAACCATTATAAAATGAAAGTCTATACTCTTTTCTCCCTGGTTACTTCAAAATCCAGTAAACGACTTTTCAGGAAGCAATGGCTTTCACGGCAGCATCGGGACTCTCGCTCCTTGCGACTTGCGCTAAGAACTGAGGGCTACTTGGAGGTTCATGAGCAGTTGTAAGCTGGGTTATAAGTAGGATAACAAGAACTCCATCCCATGTTGTGGGGCTTATAACCGATTATAACCCTTAAACCCTAAACCCATATTGGGGGGGGGGACTTGTATCCCTACCTACAACTATCCATGAACCTCCAAGTACGACTTCGTGACTTCAGGATTTTGGGGCTTTCGGGTTTGGTTTTTAGGGTTTAGGGCTTTAGGGTGTAGGGCTTAGGGTTTGAGAGTTCAGGATCAGGGCAATGTCAGTGCTATGAGTCTGGGGTTCAGGGTTTGGGCGCCAACGCTGGCAATATGTGGCTGAAGAACTAGCTACGGGGAGGGCTGCAAAAGGCCAAGGTGCGCAATTGCTACCACCAAATCCTAATCCCTATTCCCAAAGCCCTCTACCGAGTGCTCAGCTCGTATAGTACACTTGGGCCTTACAGGCCTCAGCGTGCGGCTCCACTGGCTCCACCAGTACAGAAAAAAGTGTAGGGTTTAGGGTTTAGGGTTGCAGCATTCCTCTGGTCATCTGCATGCGCATCACATCCGATCTTCTATGCAGCAACTGAATCGCTGCTGACATATTCTAGAGTGAAGATCACGAAACTACTGTTGCTACGGGAAATCAAGGAAAATATAAATAAACAAATCGAGAACAACAGAAAGACAGAACAACAACAAAAAACAACAACAAAGACGAAGCAGAACCGGTGGGCATGGGAGGTTGTACTGTACTTTTGCGTTTGTTTGGTTCTGCTTTCTTTGTTGTTTAATTTTTGTTTTATGTGTGGTTTCTGTTTGCTTTTTCCGATGAAAAACGAAAACAACACATAAATAATACAAACGACGTACAGCAAAAATCGAGCCCCAGAGGTGGGCGCCTCTTTTGATTTTTGTCGCTTCTTGTTTGTGTTTTCCTGTTGTTTTTTTTGCTGCTGGCCTGATTCAGCTGTTTGTGTGTTTTCTGTGGTTGTTTTCTTTTGTTTGTTTTAAACATCTTTTTCATACACCAAAGTAACTGAAGGATTCGTTCTCTTAATTCTAGAGCTGAGCCCTGCGTATCGGCCTGGTTGAACTTGATCACCTTCCTCTCATCCCCCTGGCGACAACCCAGATTCCAACTCCGTATAGTGCAGCGGTGCAGGAGAGATGGAAGCCTCTTGCAAGTTCTACTTGGAGGTTCATGGGCAGTTATAAGTAGGGTTATAAGTAGGATAACTATACTTATAACCCGTATTAGGGGACTTATAACCCTACTTATAACCAATGAACCTCCAAGTACCCGCATATTCTTGAGGCCTGCCTTTTCTTCGGGACTGCGCGGCTGCTTGCGCCCGTGTCAGAGTGCCGCGAGGTGCTTCTGGATGGAGGGTCGTGAGAGACTTTCCTAACCCCCCCAGGTACCTACTATAGAGGGTACTAGGGCCTCTAGGGCCATGTATAGTAGGTACCTGGAGGGTTAGGGTTTGTGCTTGTTGATGCATTTTAGGAGTCTCAGGGTGGGGAGGACCCTAAACCCTAAACCCCTCAACGCGTAAACCCTAAACCCTTAAGCACCCTAAACACCCTAAGCCCTAGACCCCCTAACCCTTAAACCGTGAACCCTCAACCCTCAGCCCTCAGATCCCAAACTCTAATCCCCTAATTACACCCTAAACCCCTAAACCCTTAAACCCTTAACCCTAAGGGGGAGTATGAAGGGCTCATTGAGAAGAGACAGGCCGATTGTCACGGCACAGGTTGCCTAAAGAGACATGCGGACGCCAGTTCTCGTTGACATCGAACATCCAGATGCTCTCCTCCCCACCATCAAGTTTGAAACCTTCACCACCCTACACTAAGCAAATTTTAAAATTCCGAAACTTGTGTATGCGATAATCGGTAATGCCTCGTGCTTTGTCACGTTTCTCATGGTGTCTTCTTGTGACGCAGTAAAGTATTTTGGCTTCCTTAAAGCGCTTTACCCTAAGTGCTAAAACCTAAACCCCAAACTTGTTACCTTAAACCCAAAACTCTTTACCTTAAACCCTAAACTCTTTACCTTAAACCCTAAACTCTTTACCTTAAATATCCTTAAACCCTACTGGACCTAAGCCCCAAGCATCTAAACCCTCGGCCTCCACAGGCACAATTGCTTGAGGCCGGCGTGGCCCAGGAGTAACTCCAGATGTCTTGGTGAGTGTGTGTATATATATATATGTGTGTGTTCTATGCTATATATATATGTAATTATTTTGGTGTGTGCATATATATATATGCACATTTGTATGTTCAAGTATATAAGTGATCTTTACCAAGATGCGACCTACTGTATATAGAGGTAACTGCGCTTCTGCGGTTTGTACAGTCGTCAGTGTGCCTTACGGCTCTGCCGGCCACAAGAGTTCGGCAGCCGTCTCTCCGGCCGATCGAAAGGGCAGTGACCAGGTTCAGGGTTAAACCGTTAAACCCAAAACCCAAAACCCCTAAACCATCCTAAACCCAACACCCCTAAACCCTAAACCCCTAAACCCCAAACCCTGGGTTTAGGATTGGGCATTTAGGGTTATGTTTTAGGCGTTAGTTCGGCTTTAGAGTCGAATTGCAGCTTCGGGTTCTGGGTGGAGAGTTTGCGGTGGTTTTGGGAATTATGGAGGCTGGTAGCGGTCACTTAGGCTCCAGCCCATATGAAGACCCTACTGAAATCTGCTAGTCAAGCCACAGAAAGACCATGCGAACCAGGAATGAGTAACTATTCATGGCAGCTCAGGTTCCAGGGCGCCCCGTCGAATCTATCCCATGCGCCATCCTAAACCACCCTTCCCCTGAGAGCTCTGATCCAGAAAGCTTAAACCACCCACCCTGAATGCAAGGAAGGCGCACCCGAAATAATACGCTCTAAGCCTTCCAAGTAGGTGGCAGATCCCTGCTTCATGGGCTTGCGTTATGTGACATCTGAACCTTGCCGTGTTTGATGTGTTTTCAATGGAATGCCCGACCCTAGAACAGCCGCAAAAAATCGCAGCTCCAGATTAGCTGCAACCACCTAGGCCAAGCTGGCCCTCCTGATGCGTTTGGGCGAGATTATCGCCCCGCAGTGGCTGCCGACCCAGAGCTGTCACACAAAGGGTTTCACCAGGTTTTGATACGGGTTTCATACGGTTTTAACAGGGGGAGTTGTGGCGAATTGGTGTTCAGGGTCTCTGCGTTCACTGGTTGGTTTCCAAAGTTCAAGAAGCTCAAGCCTTCATGCTGCCCAGACCCCATCTAAGCCGCGTTCGGTAGATTCGATCATAAACGTCGCAAAGCCTGTAGAGTTTCGGCTCATTGCAAGTGCAAGTTGATGTAGTTTAAGTTCCTACCAATAGGCCCCTAAGTAGTTCCTTTTTGGGATTATAAACCTTATAGGATTCTAAACATAAACCATAAAAAGGAACTAGTTAGGGGCCTAGTGGTAGGTCCTAGATTCAGGGTCGGGCATGGGGCTTTGGGCATGAAAAAGCCCGCAACTAGATCTCAGGCAAGGCAAAGGAGACAGAAGAGAAGCATCCTACTTTGGCTCATGACACTCTCTGCAGCGTTGCAGATAGGGGCTGGGTGTTTGTTTTGTATCTTTCCTAAGGTTCCATGTACCCAAATAGTAGATACTTTGGCCTTAAAGTACTCCCTATACAGGTACTTTAGGGCCAATGTATATGCTATATGAATGCATGGACCCGGGCTAGGCTCCGGGGGTGTAAAACCTTCTCGCATAGGCAGCCATGAAGTCTTCGAGGTTCATTACCAGGAGTTTAGCTTCCAGTGGCCAGGGCTTGCTTTGTACTGGGTTCTTGTGAAGGGATTTAAATATGAGTTGCCATAATAAGGAAACCCTATTACTTACTATCGATCCTATTACGGTTACTTAATAAATTCCTTTAACAAGAACCTAATATGTGGATCTCTGCTTCCCACCCTAAGCCCTAACTCCCAAGCCCAAGTCCTGAAACCCGACAGAAATGAGCCCCCGACACCCCCACAGCGTCTACTGAATTCTACCCATAGGCCCCTAAGTAGTTCCTTTTTATGGTGTATATTAAGAATCCTATAAGGTAATCCCAAAAAGGAACGTACTTCAGCTTCTGTTACTTTTGAGAATCTTCACCTTCTGAACATGTGGCATGCAGAGTTCACCTATGGGCCTGGATCCTGTGACTAGGTCATGCTGCAGGGAGTTCTGCTGAGTCGGAAGAAGCCCTCATTGTCCCTAGCAAATATCTGTGCTATAATGCACACCGAAATGCATATGGGTAGTTCTCTAAAACAAGAGGGTCCCTTTTTTTGTCATCAAACCAGCACGGCACCCTTATAATGAGGATCCCGGAAGGTTGAAAAGGGACCCTTTAGGTAGAGAACTGCCCATGTTCTGTGTATTCGGGCCATCATTCTCGGCGAACCCTAAACCCTAAACCCCTAAACCCAAAGCGGAGGCCTCACCACCACAGCTTGGATGCTGCCTCTCCCGAAGAGCGCCGGGCTTAGAAGCTTCATGGTGGTCGGTAGAGCCTAAGGCCTAGGCCCCTAAGTAGTTCCTTTTTATGGTTTATATGTAGAACCCTATAAGGTAATCCCAAAAAGGAACTACTTAGGGGCCTATGGGTAAAGTAGGGTGTAGGGAAACCAGACTTTCGTGCTCTCTAGAAGGTCTGCATAAGAATGTCTCCAAATCGTCAGGTTTACTGGATATCGGGGAATCCCTACTTTATTGGAACCGGGACGACATGCTTTTGGTGCTTAAACGCTAAACCCTAAACCGTGGCTTTTGATGTACTCTTTACTGGAAAAGGCATCTCCTCGGGTTTGTCATATGGGTAGTTCTCCATATTTAGGGTCTACGGTCCTTTTTTATAAGGGTGCCGTACTATATTTAAAAGGGGCCCTAATTCAGAGAACTACCCATACGTGGCTTTCGAATCTTGGTTGCCTTGTTTGAAGCTGGATTGCCGACGCAGCAGGTGCCTCTTCGCTCTGCAGCGCAGCATGCCGTTGCTTGCCTCAGATGTTTGCCAGACATAGGGGGCCTGTGCGATGTATTCGTCTGCTCAAAGTGTATGCACATACACACGTTTGTACATACAATGTTATACATGGCCGATAATTCTGTGTATGTGTCTTCCAGGCAGGACACGATTGTTTTTGTGCGTCCTCGTGGAATTGTTGGTGATTCGGCCGGATTTGCTCAACATATGGGCAGTTTTCTAAATGAGGGTC